AGTTTCACGTCGACAGCTGGACAACCGTCGACTGGGCGGAGGAGATGTCCAGAGAGGAACTCATAGCTGCCCGAACAAGACAGATAGCCTACGGTTTGGAAGATAACCTTATGACAGCGGCAGATCATCTGGCAATGGAAAGAGACAAAGGTAAAGAGAGATGGGATAAGAACGTGAGAATCAGGAAGGAGAGGGTGAGTGTAGGAGATATGGTCCTTCTGTACGATGCAGCGCTGGAAAGAACCTGGACTGGAAAACTCGCCAACAGATGGATGGGACCTTACAGAGTGGTTGAGGCACTCGACTGGGGTGCATATATGATAGCAGAATTAGACGGATCCAAGTGGAAGGACCCAGTGGCGGGTGCTAGGTTAAAGTTGTTTAGGCCCAGGCCCGTACCCATCTTATCGCTGACAAGCCCGCAAGGGAAAGGGAAGGCCAAAATGAAGGATGGAGCCGTCTCGAGACGATATGAGGCGGGAGAGAGTTCCAAAAAGAGGAAGAGGGTAGAAAAAAGAAAGGTCAAAGGATTGGCGATAGGGAAGAGGAAGAAATGGTTATTCATGCTCAGGGGAGCCAGACGGAGAAATCGCATTAGATGAGCTGATGAGTCGGCACCTTTCTCGGACCAACATCAGAAGAAAAAGAGGAYCCTACCAAGACCAAAATCCCGAAGGAAAAGGAAAGTCAAAAAGCATCTTCTTAGCCCTGGAACTAATAACAAACTGAAACATAAGACAATTAAACGCCGACGTGGCCGACCTTTACGGGCAATCACCCTGAAACTCGTCCGCTTCATTTGACGCAAGTGGATAGGGCTCGACGGGGGCGTCGAGAAGTGGTCCGGGCTAACTGTCAGGCGGCCACGAGTAGTGCGCCGCCTGAAATCGATTTCGGGACTTAGGCTCGGGGACAAGTCCGTGTTTTGACGGTACTCTGGTATGACCAGGCAACAAAAATTAGGGGAACTCAGGGCACCCTGATTTTGGGCGAACTGAACCTTTCGAGTAACCCCCAAAGATGGCGAAGTGGGTAGCCGCTCCCGGCATATCTAGGGACCGTCATTCCCACACGTTCCGAGGCTAGACCTGGGATGGCCGGCTGTGGGGAGGCATAGCGCGTTTTGACCCCGCGGCAATGCTTTTGCAGCATATGATCGGGCTGGAGTAGCGCCTCAAATTTTATCAATTTTTGGTACCTAATTTAAATATGGGAGAAAAGATTGGGAACAGTAGGAGGGAAGAGAAAAACGTAATATTCCTTAATTCCCCTATTCTTTCGCAGCATATAAATTTTCGGGAAATACCTCGTTATTTTACGTTTCCGGCAATGAAATATAACAACCAGAGAAAAGGATGAAGAATGGTAAAGGAGAGAAGAAAAAAGGGAATTTCAACCATTTGATTAAACTCCCTCAGAATGCATTTTTGGAGAACCTACGGCTAATTC